ATGGATCTTCTGACGGATGTCCGCTCCAGGATGAAGTAACACATAAAATTTTCTAGCTCTGAATCTCTTAATGTTACCTAGAAAACAGAAACAAGAATATTAATAGGTTTTTAAAGAGAGTCATTAAAGGCAGTTCACTCAAAACTGAAAATTCTATTTCCTCATCCTTCACTTGTTCCAAACCTGTTTGAGTTTCTTTCTGATGTTTAACACAAACAAAAATACTTTGAAGAAAGCAGGAAACTTGCAACCACTGATATTCATAGTAGTTCTTTTTTCCTACTATGGAAGTCAATGGTTACAGGTTTTCAGCTTTCTTCAAAATATCTTCTTTTGAAAGGCATCTGCAGCAATATCATCAGATTAAACTACACAGTAAATCATTAATTTTAATTATTTAAAAGTAGCTCCCTTTAGTCACACTTTAAAATAAGGTTTCATTAGTTAATGTATTTGCTCACTATTAAAATAACTATTTAATATTTAATAGTTAGCATTGTTAAACTAATTTACTAATGAATAAAAATCCAAAGTCATGCTTGTTAACATTAGCTATTACATTGTGAGTTAACATGCACAATGAATAAGCATTTGTTCATTAACATAAAAAACTAATAAATATTGCGTTAGACAAATTGTTGATGTGAAATTAACTAATGACACCTTATTGTTTTGGGTCACCCTCCAATTTAATTACAATGTTATCGACTAAATAGAAAGCATGCTATCTACACTGTTACACTGCATCTGTCATCTCCACTGTTTCAGCAATAGATCTCAGCATTGACACAGTGCTATTTGTCTGTTGTGGATGGAACGGCATTGTATTATTTTATTCCCAATATATCTTGCTCAATAATCATGCTTACAAGCTAAGACAGCATCTGTGTTTCTGTGATTATCCGAACTGAACAGTGGTGGTCACTTTAGAACAGTAAAAGTATGAATGGGACAGAACTTCACATGTATGCTGTCCTACTCTCAGCTGATGAGGAGACTCCGATTTCTTCATAGATCTATCGGTAGTAATGAGATCTTATTCCTGCCCTGTTTTTACCTGACACTATGAGACAGAATTACGTACACATATGATTATTTTATACTTGCGTGATAAAGCTGCCGATGGACGGATCGTAAGAGTATTAACGCTAAAGTTAGCCTTCAGGCTAGCTGAACTTACCTTCATAATTGCACAGGTAGGAAAATGCATAAAACTTGAAACCTTTCTCAAGCTTTGCTCTGCGGTGTTGTAGAGCACATCCGGACAATCATTTGCACATCGTTGACCATAATTTACTCGCAAACAGCGAGTAAATATTGACGACTCTGCCATAATACTGCTTACCTCCGCTTAAAATCACCCAGACCGGAAGCTGGACCGCGGCCTTAGACAAAACGCGGAAGTAATGCGTGCATATAGCCCATTAAGTGTGTAATGATGGACACTTCACGCACTCAACGACCGCAGGTTTGCTTACGTAGCGGAAGGGGCGGAGCGATCGGACGCACATGTTGAATAACTTTATTTAATTTGGATGGTGAAAGCAAAATTCTTTTACGAGAGTGATTATAGCGCCTCCCGATAGTGATTGCGGCAATACTCACGGCAGGTATTATTTGATAATTCGGCCGTTTACTTCAATGATTTGGCAACAATCAAACGTCATCAGGGAAACGGTTTGAATTTCCGCTTAGTAAAAAAAACATTAGTGTGCCATTTGGGACGACACTACATACACATACTACCCTGTTGAGTGTGTAAGTGCATAAGTACATAGTGCATGAGTGCATAGTGTATAGTGTGCCATTTGGGACGCAGCTATAGACTGCACAGAAAACTTGTAAAGCTAGTTTCAAACTTGCTAAACAGGCACAATATGGTGGAGAAATTCGGCTCGTGTTTTCCTCATTTTGCAGCTCTTTCCACAGAGACTTGCCCCAGATGCTACGCAAATCAAAGGATCGCGCTGTAATTGAATTTCCAGCGCTTCAAGAAGAAATACCTGTAGGAAATAAAGTCTGGACGGTGAAGACTAACCGCGGATGAGAGACGGGCGCGCGGCCGAGCAATCGCGTGCATACAGGACGGAGACTCGCGGGCACGCGCATGCACTTGTCAGAGTGGAAAACACAAACACACATACGCATTTTATTAAAAACACGCTCCCCACAGCCGGTGAATGCGATCTTTCTTCATATGACATATCAAAACAGCTGTACCCGAGACACCCAAACCGCGTTTTTTCATCAACTGCAATATTATGAGACTTATTTGATATATATTTCATGAAATTGAGGAATATCAAGTCATCTTGATGGGAATTGTTCATGTGAAATGAACATCCTGTCATTGTTACTCACTCTCAAGCTTTCTGGATGCTCAGTTGCATAGAACAAGAAAAGTGATATCGAAGAATGTTCACGCTGCTCTGTTCTGTACTACATAGTCATCAGTATGCGCAAAGCTTCAATACTATAAATCTTCTTGTGAAGTTAATATTAATTGAACAAAAGGAAAATAAGTCGTACAATTTATTTGTGTAGTTAATAAATAATAAAATCTCACACAAAAAAATGACAATTTATATTACTTAACTGGATTAATAAATATTTAAAAATATGAATAACTTAAAATATATAAATGTAAAAAAATCTTACGTTTGTTTTTAGAAATTTTTATTTTCAGTTTTATTTGACAAATAATAATATTAATAATATCAAAATGCTCTAAATAATTTCATTGGAAGTGGGTTGTTTATTTGTCTGTTTTTAGAAAAAGCTAATTATCTTTTGCTTCTCTCAAATATTCTGTCTGTGTGAATAAATTAAATCAGTCTCGCCAAAAACCAGGGTGAGTGTTTGAATAAAACAGCTTGATTTACTTGATGGCATGAATTATTTAATTAATTGGAAAATGGAAAAAGTCATTTTATTTTCAACATCAGAGGAATAATGAATATGTTAATAGTACAAATGTCAAAACAAATTAATACAATTACAAAGTACCTAATAATTCAATAGTTTGGAGGTGAAGTGTGAATTTAGTTGGACACCATAGGACAATGCTATTCATATTTATCTGAAAATAAAATTAAACAAAAGTTATGCAATTTGAATTTAATAGTATTTAATCTAAACACACTTTTTTTCAAAAATGCAGAAGTAATAAAGCCAAACGTTTGTGCTAAATTAGGGTTATAATTGTACGTTACTACTACCAGTAGTTTTAATGTAAGAATAAATGACAAACAAAAAAAAAAAAAAACATTAATTTGAGGTTAGAACCCACATCATAAAAATTAAATAAAAAAAAATCTATTAATAGTGAAAAACATGAGCTAAATTAAGACTTTAATTGGATATCAGAGAACAAATAACAATAATAGTGAATGGAACAGTGAATGTAAGTGTATGGGTGTTTTCCAGTACTGGGTTGCAGCTGAAAGGGCATCCGCTGTGCAAAACATATGCTGGATGAGTTGGCAGTTTAATCCACTGTGGCAAGCCTGATAAATAAGGGACTAAGCTGAAGAAAAATGAATATTTGATAATAGCAATCAATTAAATAAAGAATTTTTAATTTAACACTAATCTTATGAATAATATGAATTTAAACAATGTAAAGACATTATTAATTATAATTAAAACTTAGATGTGAATATGTAGCTTGAATTGTGGCCAGAAACAACAACAACAACAACAACAACAACAACTCGGCTAGAATAGAAGTTTTAAATTTTTTTAAACACCATTTTAGGGTCACTATTATTAGCCCCTTTAAGCTATTTTTTCCCGATAGTCTACAGAACAAACCATCGTTATACAAACAGATGTATACAGGAAATCCAGAGTCATGGCCGATAAAACAGGCAGATGGTTAAAAGGCAGGCAGCAAGCAATGTAAACAAACAAAACAAAGCAAGGTTCAAAAACAGGGAAGGCAAGAAAACACGTCAATGTTCAGAAACAGTATAAAAAGGCTCGGCCACTTCTGTGTGTTTCTGTGCGAGTCTAATCAATGGAGACTTGGAGCAGGTGTGTGTATTGCATGACTGGATATTGTAGTCTATACACCGGTAGATTTGTAGTTCTACGAGATCTGTAAGTTTACCAGCGATCTTTAAGGATAAGATCGCTAGTGATTGTGACAGGTCAATTAGGCAAGTTATTGTATGATAGTCTGTTCTGTAGACTATCGAAAAAATACATAGTTTAAAGGGGCTAATAATTTTTTACCTAAAATGTTTTTTAAAAAATTTAAAACTGCTTCTATTTTAGCCAAAATAAAACAAATAAGACTCTCCAGAAGAAAATAAAAATTCAGACATACTGTGAAAATTTCCTTGCTCTGTTAAACAACTGTAACTCATTTTTCAGGTCATACAGATTACAAAATAAATCATATAACATTTGTTTTTAAGTGTGTTTTGTTTAAAAGTAGAGAGGAAAGTGGGTGTGTCTAGCTCTGTTTATTTCGGAGTGTATGAGGAGGGAAAGAGGGATGGCTTTGCATTAAAATGGGAGTTTCCGTTTGGGCACGTGCTGATTTTCACAGAGGCAAAACCAACACACAGACGCAGGGGAGAATGACAGTGACTGTGTTAACATGGACATCAATGCGTTTACATGGACATCTGCCGTGTGTCACGTGCTTTGTAGCCCACACGCAAGTCCAGCTGCGCTCTCATAGTGGGGAAATGAAAACAAACCCTTCGTTGCAGCACATTTATAAACACAACAGACTCGCGTCTCCAAACAAGTCTTGTCCTTCCACTTGTTTTGGCAACACAACGTGGCATCTCTCTGCTGTCTGAACACTGTAACAGGTAAAAACAGTCTTCGAAGATATCATGCATAATAATGAAGTTGGACCAAACCCCTCCCTCGGAGAGTCAGTCAATAGTGATAGCTGATTGTACTAGTACCTAGGTGGGGCTTCATTCGCCGTATTGACCGTTAGACGATTCCCCATTCAAAACTACACGAGTGACACGTCTTGTGTATTCTATAGTCTTTAATAATACACAACCAATAAAAATAGAATCAAATTCGAACGCAATCATAACCATGTTCAGAGTGGCTGTGATTGACTGTCAGCTCCACCCCTTGAGCCTGCTCTGAGCCTCTCCTCCAGAGAATCATCAGTGTATAGCGTTCACTGATTGGTTGTGCTAGAAGGAGAGGCTTTATTCGCCATATTGCCGGCTACACTTCTCCCCATTCAAAACTATACATATAGAGAGTGACACGTCTTGTATATTCTAAAGCCTTCGATAATACACCATAAAAATGGACTGAATTGCGAATGTAAATCAATCACATTCAGAGTGGCTGTGATTGGCTGTCAGCTCACCTGAGGCTCCGCCCCCTGAGCCGCAGAGCGCTGGTATGAGGCAGACCGCAGCCTCATTATCTTCATGAGTCTGTACAGAAAGTCTTTTCCTCCAGATCAGATAAGATCAGATGCACAGATACCTGCTGAAGTGCAGTCCGGGACGCCGGCCAGACCTACAACATTTATCAGCAGCAGGACGGAGGTCAGTGTGTGCGTCGTGTTCACACCGATGCGGATGTTGATCCACAGACCTCAGATCAGATGATTTTAGGACTCCGGTCTGAACACACAGAGAGAGAATTTAGCTAATGAGTATTAAGATAAAGGTGCAAAAGTTACTCAGAAAGGTCTGTTCATATAGTATGTGTCGGGTTTTTAATGCACTAAACTGACATTTTGGATTATTTTTATTAGTTTTTGCTATTTTTAAGCACCGCACGCCATAAATAGGTGTTATACAAGTGTTTTCATGTAAATATTTTAAAATCTATTTCACCCCCAACAACCACCTACTGTTCTAACCTCCAAGAACACCATAGAAAGCATTCAGAATACCCTAGTAACCAATTACAGTATTCCATAATAATCAGTTTATTTTTCAAGACATTAGATCCACCCAGAACACCCTAGCAACCGACTACTGTTGTAACCACCCAAAATACTATACAGACAGTTCAGAACGCCCTGGTAATCGCTCGTAGAACACCATAGTTAACTATTAGTATATTCTCTGAATTATTCATAACACCCTAGAAACCCCCAAAAACACCTTAGCAACCACCTACTGTTGTAACTACCAAGAACACCATATAAACCATTCAGAATGCCCTAGTAATCGCTTGTAGAACACCATAGTAACCTATAAGTATATACTCTGAATTATCTAAAACACCTTAGAAACCACCTAGAACCCCCTAGCAACCACATACTGTTAAAACTACTCAGATCATCATCAAAATAATTCAGAATGCCCTAGTAAATCACTCATAGAACACCATAGTAACCTATTAGTGTACTATGAAGAATTCAAAACACCCTAGAAACCACCCAGTACACCCTAGCAACCACCTACTGTTGTATCTACCCAGAACATCATGGAAAGAATTAACAATGCCCTAGCAGCCACTCATAAAATGCCCAAAGTAACCTATCAGTATATGCACTGAATTATTCAACACCCTAGACACCAACAAGAACACCCTAGCAACCACCTACTGTTGCAACTACCCAGAACACCATAGAAACAATTCACAATACCCTAGTAATCACTCAAAAGAATTCCATAGTACCCTATATATACCCTAACAGTATATATTATGAATTATTTTAAAAACCCTAGAAACAGTCAGAACACCTTGGCAACCACCTACTGTTGTAACTACACAGAACACCATAGAAACAATTCACAATACCCTTGTATTCACCCATAGAATGCCTTAGTACCTCATTAGTATACTATACATTATCTCAAACACCCTAGAAAACAACTAGAACACCCTAGCAACTAAATACTGTTGTAACTACCCAGAACACCATAGAAACAATTCAGATTGCCTTAGTAACCACTTATAGAACTCCATAGTAATCTATTAACGTATACTCTAAATTGTTTCAAACACCCTAGAAACCACCCAGAACACCCTAGCAACCACCTACTGCTGTAAATACCCATAACAGAATACCCATAACAGAATGCCCTAGTAATTGCTCAAAGAATGCCCTAGTAACATATAAGTGTATAATAGTAATTATTCAAAACACCCAGAACACCCTGGTAACCACCTACTGTTGTAACTACCCAGAACAGAACATAGAAATAATTCAGAATGCCCTACTAACTGCTCATAGAACCCGGAATAATTTTACACACCCTAGATGCCACTCAGAACAGCATAGCAACCACCGACTGTTGTAACTACCCATAATACAATAGATACAAATTCACAATGCCCTAGCAACCACTCAAAACGACATAGTAACCTATCAGTATATACTCTGAATTATTCAAAACACTTTAGAAACCACAGAGAACACCTTAGTTATCACCTACGGTTTTAAATTACCCAGAACACCATAGAAGCCAATCAGAATGCCCTGGTAACCGCTTATAGAACACCATAAGAACCTATTAGTACATACTCTTAATTACTTCAAAGACCCTAGAAACTAACAAGAACACCCTAGCAACCACTTTGTTGTAACTACCCAGAACACCATAGAAACAATTCAAAATATCCTAGTAATCACTCAAATAATACCATAGTACCCTAACAGTATATATTATGAAATAATTTAAAAACCCTTGAAACAGCCAGAACACATTAGCAACCACCTACTGTTGCAACTACACAACACCATAGAAACAATTCACAATACCCTTGTATTCACCCATAGAACACCATAGTACCTTAGTATACTATACATTATTAAAAACACCCTAGAAATGACCCAGAACACCCTAGCAACCACCTACTGTGGTAACTACCCAGAACCTCATAGAATCAATTCATAATGCTGTAGCAATCACTCATAGAACACCAGAGTAACCCATTTGCATATACTCTAAATTATTCAAAACATCCCAGAAACCACCCAAAAAACCCTAGCAACCCCTTACTGTTGTAACCACCCAGAACACTTTAGAAACTATTCAGAACAGCCTGGAACGCCATAGTAATCTAGAAACCAACACTGAAGTATTTTACTATAGAATGGTTCATATTTACTATACACATTGCTATAGTATTTTTTCCATCTGGGCATGCTAGTAAGCATTTGGATTCATGGACACAGCGCTAACGCTAATGCTAAGCGTCCAGCCGCATGAGCTCCCTTTTCACATCAGGCCTCTGGAAGGAAACTTAATTGCTGACTCCAAATGTTAATTGGATTTCATTATGTGTAATTTGGCTAGTTTCAGCTGAGGGAACCGCTAATAAAGACCGACAGTGAGCGGCGTTGAAAATGCGGCGGTGATTATTATTTTGGTGCTTTGTGAGGTTGTCAGGCGCTAACAGAGTCTTAACCAACCCGACAATTTTACCCTAAAATAATAAACAGCTCAAGACAAAAATAAGACAGAGGAACCATCACTTAAAATTAAAGCGCTGAGGAGAAACAGCAGAATTAGATTGAATTAAAAATGGCTAATGTTTATTAACCACCGCTGTTATTGCATGGCTAAATTCGTCCTCCACATTTTCTAATCATGTGGCGGATTTAAGCATTCCCACATGAAATTAATATACACCCAATAGAATACCCTAGTAACCAAATTATAGAATGCCATAGCAACCTATCAGTGAAATCCAAATCACCTTAGAAACCACTCAGTACACCCTAGCAACCATCTAATGTTGTAACCTCCAAGAACACCATAGAAAGCATTAAGACTACCCTAGTAACCAATTACAGTATGCCATAGTAACCGGTTTATTTTTCAAAACAGCTTTGAAACCACCCAGTATGCCCAAGCAACCGCCTACTGTTGTAATTACCCAGACCACCACAGAAACAATTTAGAAACACAAGTAACCACTTATAGAATGTCAAAGTAACCTTTCAGTATATACAATAAATTGTTTTAAACACCTTAGAAACCACCCAGTACACCCTAGCAACCACCTTCTGTTGTAACCACCCAGAATACCATAGATACCATTCGGAACACTCTAGCATTCACTCATAGAACACCATAGTAACCCATCAGTATATACTGTGAAACATTCAAAACACCTTAGTAACCATCCATAACACCCTAGTAACCAGATACTGTTGTACCACTCAGAACATCATAGACACCATTCAGAACACCCTAGTAATCACTCATAGAACGGAATAGTAACCTATCAGTATTAATATTGTGAAATATTCAAAACACTCAGAACACCCTAGCAACCAACCACAGTTGTAACCACCTCGAATACAGAACACATGGAAAGCATTCAGAATACCCTAGTAACCAATTACAGTATGTCATAATAACCTATCAGTATATTGTAAATTGTTCAAAACACCTTAGAAACCACACAGTACACCCTAGCAACCACCTACTGTTGTAACCACTCAGAAAACCATAGAAACCATTCAGAACACACCAGTAGCCACTTATAGAACACAATAGTACCCTATTGGTATATACTGGGAAATATCTAACACATTGGAAACCACCCAGTACAACCTAGCAACCACCTTCTGTTATAACCCCCCAGAACACCTTAGAAACCACCCAGAACACCATAGTAACCACCTACTGTTGTATCCTCCAAGAACTGTACAGACACCATTCAGAACACCCTAGTAACCACTCAGAACGCAATAGCAACCTATTAGTATATACTGTGAAATATGCAAAACATCTTAGAAACCACCCAGAACACCTTAGCAACCACCTTCTGTTGCAACCACCCAGAATATCATAGAAATCATTCTGAATGCCCTAGCAAGCACTCATAGAACACCATAGTAACATATAAATTGTTCAAAACACCTTAGAAACCACCCATAACACCCTAGCAACCACCTTCTGTTGTAACCACCCAGAATATCATAGAAATCATTCTGAATGCCCTAGCAAGCACTCATAGAACATCATAGTAACATATAAATTGTTCAAAACACCTTAGAAACCACCCATAACACCTTAGCAACCACCTATTGTTGTAACCTCCGAGACCACAATCAGAATACCCTTGTAACCATAAATAGTTTGGCATAGTAATCTTTCAGCACATCCAGAGAATCATCCAGAACATCATAGTGAAATTTTTCACAGGTTAAAGCAACTACATCCTTCAGCAAATATACGAATTTAGTGATTATTATTATTGGGTGCTGCATTTAGATTTGAGCGCTTTAATATTGAAAGTGTAGTGACTGAAATGATCCGAGCGATCAAGGTTTGACCTTTTACCACACCGCCATGCAATATAAACCAGAGAACAGTCATACAATCAAATGAGGCTTCAAGGAAAACGAGCACTTGAGCAAATATCATTGGTTAAACCCGACTTATTACTGCGTGGACTGTGCGATCTGTAAAAACACATTACACTCTAAAAAAAAAATTCCGTAAAAAAACGGTAAAATGTACTGGCAGCTCATTACACAAATATTTTACCGTAAATTAAAAACGGAAAACTTCTGTTAATTGACAGTGTGTCCACATTAAAAAAACTAAAAAATATCCGTTTTTTGACGGTTAAACTACTGTAAAATAACGAACCATTTTATAGTAATTTAAGGGTTTTCTTTATAAAAAAACGGTTATTTTCTGTGTTTTAAGGGTATACCAACAGTAAAAAAGCGGAAATATTTTGTGTTTTAATAGTATACCTACTGTAAAAAAAATAGGCAAATTCTGTGTTTTAATAGTATACCTACTGTAAAAAAACAGACAGATTCTGTGTTTTAATAGTATACCGACTGTAAAAAAAGACAGATTCTGTGTTTTAATAGTATACCTACTGTAAAAAAACAGACAGATTCTGTGTTTTAATAGTATACCGACTGTAAAAAAACAGACAGATTCTGTGTTTTAATAGTATACCGACTGTAAAACGAGGACTTTTTTGTTTTTTAATAGTGTATATATACAGTGAAAAAAATGAACAGATTCTTTGTTTTAATGGGATACCTACTGTAAAAAAAATAATTATTTTACTAATTTAATGCTCTTCAAGCAGCATAGAAATAGCAGTTGGTAAGAATAAACATATACATATGGGAAATACACTATTAATGGTTTACCATAGTAAAACAAAACATGTATTCTATACTGTATGTGTAGAGAAGCAGTAAATAGTTTGTTAACTGTGAACTTACAATGATTAGTACAAAAACAACTTTGCAATTAAAACAGATTCTTTAATGAATACAAATCATTTGAATTCCAAATAGCTAGTTATACACACAATAATACATATTGACATGTGAATCACACAGTGAGAAGTCTAGGCAAATAATCTCAAAGCAAATTAGTTTTAAATGTTAGCTTTAAGATAATTGGGGACAGGTGGGCAAATTACAAGTACTTTACATTAAGAAACGAGGTTAACTGCAAGATGGCAGGAAACAGACGATACAACTGGGTCTTCTTCCGCTCCAATACTGATACTTCAATGGCTGTAAAAAAAAAAAAAAAAAAAAAAAAAAAAAAAAAAAACATTACTAATGACATTTCACTTACAACTGGGGTGATTCCTTGCATGTCAATAGTTTACACAAATGGAAGTTTTATCATCATCTTCTTGTCTCACTCTTGTCATTTCAAGCCTGTCTGACTGACATACTTCCACAGAACAAAATAGGAGCAACATTCTTTAAAGTATGGTATTTTGTGTTTTGCAGAAGAAACAAAGTCATACAGGTTTAAAATGTCAAGAGAGTAGGTAAGTTATGAATGATCAATTATTCAGTTTTGGGTGAGAAATCACTTTAAGATTTTTTAAAATAAAGTGTAGGTACTTTTAACAATATTCGGAACAATATTGCAAGAGAGAAACAGTAATATAAACAAACTATGCTGGTAACACTAATAACTACAGGCTATGATTCATTTATGAAGCATTAGCAAATAGTGAACTCATTATCTGTTAAGCATTAACTCTACATTAATAGATGTTAGCAGTCGGTTATAAATACAGGCACAAAATTTGCTACAGCTACAGTTTAATAATTGTGTTATCAAACTTTAATGATTGATTTTACATTACTATTTTTAAATAAAAAAATAATATATATATATTTAATATTGCATTATTTACAAAACTTCTTCCAGTTGTGGCCTAATCTAAAGTGAGGATTATTTATGATTTATAAATCCTTATAAACGACAGTTAAAGGCTCAGTATCAAATGAACAATAAATCATTACAGTCTTATCTAAAAAATGTAATTACTGTAAATATGAAACCTTGCTGAATAGCAGGAGTGCCAAAATATAACATAAAACTGGATAAAACAACAATAAAATAATTTAATGATATATTACGATGCAACATTTCAGTGTTATTTAGCTATGTTTAAACTGTACAGTAATTTTATTTTAGATAAGATTTATTTTTCATTTTATACAATAAAATGAATTTTATTTTTAGAATATAACTGAATCTTTAATTGTGATTTATAAGGGGATTTACAGAGCATAAACAATCCTCACTTTAGGCTACAAAACTGGATGAAGTTAACAAAAGCATTTATTAAAATAAGTATTGTATATACTTTATATACTTATTTTTTATACTTTATATACAAGTATTAAAATTACTATTGATGCATGTATTTTCCTTCAGCTTAGTGTGTACTCACACTATGTATAGTTGCCTTGAACCAGGCTGAAGCACTCTTGTCCTCCCTCCCGTCTCCCCTGACGTCCCGCACTCACATTGCATTCGAGCCTGAGCACTCTTACATCATCGATGATGCGCTGTTTAGTTTAGGAAGTGCTCTAAGCACGGAGAATTCTTTAGTTATATTGTTTTAGTCGTTTGGGATGCAGTAACACACTGTCAAATATTTCGCCGAACAGATCAGCCACTTTTGATGTTAATAAACAATCATAAATTCCTTGTGCTGCAGGAATAGGAGGTTTGCTAAAGGCGCAGCTGTGGTGCAGTAAGGGGTTTGCGTTCATTGAACAGTAATAGTGGTTAATTTATCTAAATCAAAGTCCCTTGCAAACTGTCATAGATTAAAGACACAAACCCCTCACTGCACAACAGCTGCACCTTTAGCAAACCTCCTAGTACCTGCAGCACGTTGACTTTGATTGTTTATGAGCGTCAAAAGTGGCTGATCTGTTCGGCGAAATATTTGACTGCGTGTCACTGCATATTGAACAACTAAAACGATATAACAATATAAAGAAATTTCCACTGTGCTGAGTGAGAGCACTTGTTAAACTGAACAGTGCATTATTGATGATGTAAGCATGCTCAGGCTCGAATGCAATGTGAGTGCGAGTCGTCGGGGGAGACAAGCACGCTTCCAGTTTCAAGGCAACTGTGCATAGCATGAGTACGCCCTTGGAAACACCTATACACACATATTTACAAACACACTCATACATAATAGCCAATTTAGTTAATCAATTTCCCTATAGCTTATGTCTTTGGACTGTGGGGGAAACCGGAGCACCCGGAGCTCTTCTTGCTGTGAGGCAACAGTGCTAGCCACTGAGCCACTGTGCTGCCCAACTATCACTATATGCCTGAATAATAAGATATATAAATGTTAGTTTGAATAGTTTATTAACCATTTACTTACACATTCTGAATGATTAGAAAAAAAAATACACCAACTATTCTTAAATCACTGGTTTGTAAATAATGCTATACTAAATTTAGTAATGAAAAATTAATCATTAACAAAATATAAAAACAAAATCATTAAGCACATTATAGATGTGCTTATAAGTCAAGATTACAGCATTTGCAGCTGTAGTTATAAACTGTATACTAAGGTCTGTTAATGAAGAGTTAAAGCTTAACAGAACTTTTTGCTAATGCTTAATAAATTAATCAATAGTGTTTAGTTATTATAAAGTATTACCGGTGTGCTTAATTACCTTTAAATCTTCCAAGGATTCTGAAAGTCTTTCTGGTCTGACAGGAATCGAAGGAGTTTAGATGGTATGTTTCTGCTTGGTGCTCTTTTTTCTGCTTTGGACCTACATTCTGGATAGTTACTCAGCATGCTCCTGTTGTAAATACAACAAACATGTAGCAACTTACTTGTCTTAAAAAAATGAAATAAACTTAAAAATGTAAAAACATACCTTCATATAAACTCCAGAGTCAGGGCTGCTTCCTTAGGCTACATAATGTTTAGCACATAAGAGACTAAACATGTAGCTCACCACAATTAGGGGACAGCCCAATGATCTTGTTATTGTGACTGTGGACTCTTCTTCTGAAAAAAAGAAAAGAAAAGTGAGTTGTGTGTTGGGTCTGGTACACGTCCACATGGAAAGAACCTATATAAACATATGGTTTAATATAGGTTTTTGAAATATGAGACAAACATAAAATTGGCTGTTTTCCTATATTACATGTACAGATATGGGTACATATATGCACACCTATATGTTAAATTATTAATATTATTAATAATATTATAAATATTATAATTATTATGTAAAATTATTTAAATACATGTCTGCTACATAATTTAAAAGAAATTAAAATATATATATTTACTTAATCAAATATTATAAGAAATAATTATAGTGCAAGAACAAAAATAAGGCAAAAAAAAAACAATAAAGGAAAGAAAAAAAAATGACAAACCATTTTGTTTTACGTTTCTTTCTTTTCCACTATCTTTATATAAGAAAGAATTGACCTTGAAAATGTTTCAGGAAAACGTGTAGACATCATAGCTTTCCATCTCCTCTCACTTATTTGCCATAGTTAAATTCCATAACATGCCAATAACATGTGATACAAAAGACAAGTGGCACATACATAAGTTTTTCGCATTTTTTAAGTTAGTTCTTACCCAGAGAGCAAACCTACGTTAAATTAACATTGAATAAATGTTAAAACATCAATCATACTATCATTGAAACAACGTTAAAAAGTCACCACTGATTTTTAGGCAGTTTTCCACCCTGAAATAATGGTAATTCTATGATGATAAGTAGACAAAACTGTCCCAAAATCAGCATTTATTCAACCAAAATTAAATCATTTATTTTACAATGAACTCAACATTAAATAAAATGTTAAATCAACCACACTATCATACAATTAATGGTGAAATTTAAATTTGATTTTTAGCCAGTTTTGCGTCCTGAAATAATGTTATTACAATGACGCTAAATAGATTAAACGGTCACAAAATCAGCATGAAGGCCTGGCTCACCATCAAGATGCCCACATTGAAATTGTCTCTCTCATCATCAGGTGGCTAAGAGAGAAAAGAAAAGAAATTCAGCAGTGGACCAGTTATTTTCTTTATCACTTTAAACAGACATTACCAAAATAAAGAACTTGTAACATTTCAAATGATGCAAAAATAAATAATAATAATAAAAAACGGCTTGGTTCATTTAACAGATTACAGTAGCAGCTTAAAAAACCCAGATAAAACACCCACATCAACCCAGTACTTTTTAGTTTGAATACATGTTAACAAAATTCAAAATTACTGAAGCAAAATGTGTTCATGTAAACACTTAGTAAAAATATAGGTTCAAGTAATTGGTTTTGCCAAATAATAAAAATAAAAGCATCAATATCAAACAAAAACCCTGACCATTTTACCTCTTAAACTTGGAAGTACAGATGGTCCAGCACAACTGCCTGAGTTCTGAAAGAGCAAAGACATTCTTGGTAAAATGACAATAGATGCAATTCTAAATATAAATCATTTTTTATTTTTATTTATTGTATTATTTATAAAAATCCAGTACTGACCAGTCAGCATCAATTTTTACACCAACACACCTACAACAAAAATAACACTCATTCAGTTTGAAACATGCAACGTAGTCTACTTTTATACTTTACAAACTTTGTGAATAATAAAAAAAAATGAAAACATTTAAAACCCCAGCTGTATTTTATTTCATTTGTCTATATCAATTCAAATTTAGTTTGGATTGAACGTAAGATTTAATATTTTTATTTAGATTGCTGTGAAAATGTACTTGTACCTTGTACTTATAACCAAAATTACAGAACCTGGAAGTCAACAAAGCAAAATATCAGTGAACCTTATATGTACAAAACACTTAAAACCAAACAGAAAAAACGCTGAACATTTTACCTCTTAAACTTCAAAGTTTACCGTCATCTCCTGTATAAAGTACAGAGGGTCCAGCACAACTGCCTGAGTTCTGAAAGAGCAAACACATTCTTGGTAAAATTACAATAGATGCAATGCTAAATATAAATCATTGTTTATTTTTTTGGTTAAAAAATGCAGTACTGACCAGTCAGCATCACTTTTTACACCAACACACCTACAACAAAAATAACACTCATTCAGTTTAAAACATGCAGCACGTAGTATACTTTTAAACTTTAAACTTTGTAAATAACACAAAAAGATTTTAATTTAGATTGCTGTGAAAATGTACCTGTACCTTGTACTTATAACCAAAATGATAACATAAACAAAGCAAATCTTATATCATATATCAGTGAACCTTATATCTACAAAACACTCAAAATCAAACAGAAAAACCCTGAACATTTTACCTCTTAAACTTGAAAGTTTACTGTCATCTCCTGTATAAAGTACAGAAGGTCCAGCACAACTGCCTGAGTTCTGAAAGAGCAAACACATTCTTGGTAAAATGACAATAGATGCGATGCTAAATATAAATCATTATTGTTATGGTTAAATGCAGTACTAACCAGTCAGCATCAATTTTTACACCAACACACCTACAACAAAAATAACACTCATTCAGTTTGAGACAGTCTACATTTAGACTTCACAAACGTTGTGAATAATAAAAAAAAATGAAAACATTTAAAATCCCAGGTGTATTTTATTTCATTTGTCCGTATTAATTCAAATTCAGTTTGGATTGAATCTAAGAATTTACCTGTAACATGTACTTATAACCAAAATGAAAGAACCTGAAAGTCAACAAAGCAAAATATCAGTGAACCTTATATGTGCAAAAAACTCAGACTCAAAATCTACATAAAAAGATTTCATTTGCGATAACACCATGTGTAGTTCACTCTATTATCAAGGTTTCATTCAAATAAAACTCCTGATCTCCTAATAGTAAAGAAAATATTATTTGCTATAATGAATCGAACTGACAATTAGTTTGAAGAATTTTAAGACTGTGGAAGAACAACTCATATTTATATCTTCATATTAGCTGCCCTTGAGGTTCTTAAAAGTGAATAAATAAATATCAATGACAGTTCAACTCGACTACAACAAACATTTAATTGTGTGCTTTAAGGTACTCGTTGTATTTGAGGCCGAAAACGCATGACAGTGTAAACACTATAAATACTTTTAAATGTCACACACTTACTGTATCACTCTGTTATCTCTGTACACACAAACACACGTCGCGAAATGCGGAAGTTTTTTTTCGTTCCATTTGGAGGGCGTTATTAAATTCCATAACACTCTCTTCAGTTCTTGCTTCTTATTTGCGTCTATTACCCCAGTTTGTCACGCGGGATGAATGAAATGTTCATGAGTTAAAGTGAAACTGCCGAACTGCAGTTAAAGTCAGGCATCCTGCTGATTTGATTCAGAAGGGCACTTGTTTGTCAGACGGCTCACCGGTCAGGTATACATCCGCGCTAAAATATCAAAGTATGAAAGTCACCCAGCTCCCAACCCAACGTTGAGAATAGATTAACGGCGATATATATATATATATATATATATATATATATATATATATTTTTTTTTTATCGCGCGATAAGTCTCGCGTTAACGCAGCACGTTAATGCTGATAACGGCCCACCACTAATAATAACTTTACGAGTGTGTATTTCCCCTCATACCGAGTTACAAATGCCTCCAATTCACGCGAGTCTAACTTATAACGTTAACTTACTTAAAACCAGCAAAGCCGTTCCACTGAAACTCGGTCACACAGCCTTAATACGTCGGTCAAACTAAAGCTAACATTTGATAACGTCAGTAAAAATATGAAATTAGTTATTAATATGCAAACAAACACAGACGGTCAGGTGTTACGAGCGTTTGAAACACGTTAACGTTAGTGTTCATTAAAGGTAACGTAACTTATATCAACCAAACTACACTACTTTGAATGCTATTCTTGTTCAATGCACTGTACAAAGAAAACATTTATATTTCTATTAAATAATTAACATACCTTTTACACTCTCACAGACAAGCTGACGTTTACCGTTAATCCAGTCAGACTCACGCAGGTGCAGAGGGAGTGAGTGGGTGATTGGGACGTCACGTCATTTCCCGCGAACGGCAGTTTAGAAAAATACGGACAAACAACTGTAAATGAACAGATATCATATTTACTGATGAGGAAAACGCATAAAAAGGTAAAAAATCATTAGGTAATTGCTTGTTTAAATTACATTTAACCACTTATAGCTCAGTTTGATCTTAATGAAATAAAGTGATCTTTTTAACAATATTAAACGTAATTCACTGCTGTACTTTCCATGGGCGCTTCATACAAGACAAAAATCATTTTAAATAACGATAAAAAGGTAATAAAGCAGTATTTTAACTAAAATATTGTTATATGTTTTATTAATCGTACTTACAGGGAAAAAACAGAGGAAGAAATATGTCCCGGTGTCCATCAAACGCTGTCTGAGCTGCGATCCCCTTCCCACAATGCAATTCGAAAATGTATATAAACGGAAAAACACCCGTAATACGTGTATACGGAAAAAGTCTGTTAAAAAATACAGTCATTTAACTGTTATTTTACAGATTTTTTTTACAGTGTAGATCAGACCGCCGACACGCAGGGACGGATGATTATGTGACATAGGGATCATTTGAGAGTATTTTACCTGCATATTCTGCTTTAATGCGACCACATGATGTGCTTTGATGAGATATTTTATAGGGTTTTCAAACAGGGGTCCGTGAAGGTACAACAGGGGGTCTGCGGATATATAAAAAAACAGAATTTGTGATGAGAATGAATATTACTATTTATCCTATATATTTGATATATACTGTATATGTAAATGTCTAAGTCTAATTCAAAAAGTCATTACTGGTTGCACAATAGAAAGTATTGACAAAGAAATGGCAAAATCCAACCTGATCATTTCAGGCAATTGCAATTTCTGTTTATTTACCAGCAAATTAAATAATTTATAATTCAATTAATAGGCTAAAATAAGATATGAACAAACAAAACAGCCATTAACTAATACAAATTATAATAAATAAAACAAAATTTGGTTATCATTGAGCTTTTATTTCTTGTGAAATTTGTTTATTTAAAAATCACTAATTGTATATTTTGTACGTTTTATAGCAGATTATACATATTACTGTCATTACCGTCACAAACATTTTCAAGTTTGCAAATATTGTATCTATATAATAAAATGTTACAATCAGAAAATAAATCTTAATATATAAATACAGTACTTATTTAAATCATGTACTATATGCAACATCTTTACAATTTTTATAGCAAAAAAATGGGAATATTTCCCAAATCATTACCGTCATGTCAAGCATTTTATGAACAATAACAACATTAGATTTAAAAACTAATTTAAAAGTATTGTAATCATTTAATTTATTGTGCAACATATTAATAGTTTTAGCAAAGAACTGTGTTTCCAATATTGTTGTCATTACAGTCACATCATACATTCTCGAGTTTTAAATATTATAATTAAAATAAATAGTGTTACAATCAGTAAATTAAAAAAATCTTAATATACCATATAAATACAGTACTTAAATAATGTACTATAGGCAACATATTTACCATTTTTATAGCAAAAACTGAAAATATTTTTCTAATCATTACCATCATGTCAAGCATTTTACGAAGAATGACCATAAAATTGAAAAAAGTAAAGTGTTGCAATCATTTAATTTTTCTTTGTCATAAAATATGATTAATATTAATTTTGTTAAACATATCAATAGTTATAGACAACAGTGGTTTCCCAATATTGCTATCATTACCGTCACAAACATTTTCAAGTTAACAAAAATATTCTATCTATATAATAAAAGTTACAATCAGTAAATAAAATAATTTTAATATATACAGTACTTATTTAAGTCGTGTACTATGCGAAATATTTGCCATTTTTATAGCAAAAAATGAAAATATTTCCCAAATCATTAGTCATGTTAAGCATTTTACAAACAATAATAACCGTAGAATTTACAATTGAAATTGTTGCAATCGTTCCTTTTTCGCTTTGTCGAAAGATGTTCTTAAATACAAATTGAGCAACCATCAATAGTTAGTGAAAATTTCATTACCGTTTTGACGTGAACCCTGACAAGAGGAAGGAGGATCCAAATGGAGGTTTATTTTGCAGAGAATGGTCAGGCAGGCAACAGTCAAAGGAGCAATCAGATGTGTACAGACAATCCAGAATTGTAGTCAAAGTAACAGGCAGTAGTCAGATGGCCGGCAGACACAGGGGGCGAGGAAACTGCATTGTAATGTTCACAGATACAAATAAACAAGTTTCAGCAACATGTCTGTTTGAGAGGTGTTTATATAGTCTGTGTCATTAGTCCTGAAAAACTTCAGCTGTGTCTGTTTGCAATCATGGGGATCTAGGCCAGGTGTGTGAGTGGCGCATAACTGAATATGTAGTGCTTTTGTTGGCAGATTTGTAGTTCTCCAGCGATCTGCATGTTCACCAGCAATCTGCACAGGCTGGATCGCTGGTGATTCTGACAACCCTCACATCAAGCATTTTCAAGTTTTCAAGTTTTATATATATATATATATATATATATATATATATATATATATATATATATATATATATAATAAAAGTTTTACAATCAGTAAATAAAAAATATTTATAAAATAAAATACTTATTTAAATCATGTACTATATGCTACTTATTTGCCATTTTATAGCAAAAGATGTAAGTATTTAAAAAAAAACTTTACCGTTATGTCAAGCATTTTACGAACAATACTAACAGTAGATTTAAAAATAAATTTAAAAATGTTTCAATTATTTAATTGTTTTTTTTTTCATAAAATATGTTCTTAAATATTAATTTTGTGCAACGTATCATGGGAAGTTGTTGCAAAAAAATTGTAGTTCCAAATATTACTGTCATTACCGTCACATAGAACATTTTTAAGTATCCAAATATTTATTTATATATATATATATATATATATATATATATATATATATATATATATATATATATATATATAATAAAAGTGTTATAATCAGTAAATAAATAAATTTTTAATTTTAATGCAACATATTTGCCATTTTTAAAGCAAAAAATGCGAAATATTTCCCAAATCATTACCGTCATGTCAAGCATTTTATAAACACTAATAACAGTAGATTTAAAAACAAATTTAAAAGTGCTGCAATTATTTAATTTTGGCTTTTAAATATGTTAAATGTGTTCCTTAATATTAATGTTGTGCAACATAAAAGTTATAGCAAAGAATTGTGGTTCCCAATATTACCGTCATATCGTTGTGTCAAGCATTTTCCAAACATCAATAATCGTAGATTTAAAAACAAATTTAAAAGTGCTGCAATCATTTCATTTTTGCTTCTTGTTATAAAATGTTTTGTTAACTATTGCTATTGTGCAACATATTATAAATAGTCAGCGAAGAATTGTTGTGGCCAATATTACTGTCATTACCGTCATGTCAAACATTTTCAAGATTTTCCACAAAAAGTCAATATTTGCATATGACAAACTTAAAAAGTGAAACATAAAAATATAGTTTTAATTATCTTAAACAGCAATCATAATCTGACAGTGACATTAGGTGTCATTACCAATGCTAATGTCATTACCAAACTAGTCTCAAATTTGTTTTTTTTTTGTTTTTTTTGCTTAATAAAAAAACAATTAGTTTCTGCTTGTATTTATGATTTTAAGATTAAATGACCAATAACTAGCTTACCTTAAGCTTAAAGCCAACATTTCCAATGAAAAACAAGTAAAGTCATTACCGTCATTACCACCACACCATCAATCAAAAATCTACTTAAAGCTCAAATTTCGTTCAATAAAAGTTTATGAATAAAATGATACATAAAATAAAGTTTTAAAATAAAGAAAGAAATATTGAGACTCTCACAAAAAGCCTATCTTTATACGCTTTTTACCCATGTCTCTGTGCGGTTAATATAATACATTCAGCACATACTTTAAAAAGCGTCAGTCACACATTATAAAGCCATAAAAGTAGGCGACAACCTCTCCTTTCTCATTCAGATCTCTGCACAATTCACTTCACTTGCTTCCTGACGGATCTCTGGCTTTTGTCTGAGTAATAGAATTATTGTAGCTTTGATAACAGCGGAGCCGAGTGCCATGAAAAGTGTCGTGACAAAGAGGAATTACAAAACGAATGGGAAAGGGAACATTCCTACCGTTCAGGCTCATCACCTCAATCAAAAAAAAAAACACACGCCAGGTGGAGGATAATGAAGAATGAGCACGTAAAAAAGAAAAAACCTTTCACTCTGGAGTTTTACAACGCTTCTCTCAAAGCGTTTCAATATATGACGGATATTATGAATATTAAATATATGCAAAAGGCGAATGCTCGTGTGGTGAAATGCATCACCTCCTCATTTACCACTAAGACAAGAGAGAGTATTAAAATAATGGGGATAAAGCATCTTGTTCACGTGTGTTCTTATTGAATTTACTTGCTTGTCATTGTATACAATTACGATAATGTGTTGTGTAACTGTTTGAAATTAGAAAATAACTCCTTTTAAGCATGCAATAAGAGCAACCCAGGCTCATTCTAAATATGCACCTATATATACATTTCTGAAGAGCGCCAAATACGTCCCAGGAGCTACGTTTTTTGCATTTTTTGTCTTCACGAATCCACCAGAGGCTTCTTTACATGCTTTTTGAGATCTCTTTCTGCTCTTTTCCACCAGAGGCCGCTGTCGACTGACCGATTGACTAACCCACCGTCCTCCTTGCCTAAACACTGATTAACCCGCTCTCCTCCTTCCCTAAACCCAACCAACAGACAGGCTTCTGTCTTAACTGCTTTCTGAAACCGTTCTTCGCTGGACTCAAACCCTGTCACCGATGTCGACTCCACGCCACGTCACAAGTTCGTGAAACATATATAGTGAGCCACTGGAGAAACTGAAAAGCCATCCATATGGAGATAAGTGCACTCAAAACAATGATATGTTGGATTTAATTAAATTTTTATGTCAACAGGTTCCACGTAACTAAAGTTAAGTTACTTTAAAGAAAGAATATTTATTTGAGTGAACTTAAGTTAGTTACATAACGGTAATGTAATGTTGTTTAGTTCAATCAACACAACATTTATAATTAAGCTTTAATTTATTTACACTGTTAAAAAAAATCTGTTAAATTTACGGAAATTTTCTGTAAAAATACTGAAGTTTTATTGGACTTTTTAAATTTACAGAAAATAAGCATATTTCATCAACTGATACAATGCTCAGCTCACAAAAACGTAAAGTCATTTAATGCACTAATGTGTTCATGTGTGTTTACAATTAGCAAACAGCTTTTTTTTACAGCATTAGTAACTACACAGTTACCTTTAAACAAAAGAAGATGCAGCACAACATCAGCTATCCTTAGTTCATATTGGACTTGTGCACAGATGCTACTGTCCTCCACAATGGCGCCCCGTAGCATTCATTTTGAAGACGAAATGCAGCCATATGTATTTTTGGCTAAATAATTAGCAATCTCCAGAAATGTATATAGGGCTATGTTTTCTGAATGAGCCTGTTGGAAAAAGGGCACATAAACACCTGAAAAAAAAATTATAACTTTGAATCAAAAGCTCCAACATAACTTTATTGTTCATTGTTTCGATTCACTTTGATTCAGTAAATTTGCATATTTTCATTTTTTTATGATCCGCTCATAAAACTTGGCCACAAACGGGTCTCCCAAACAGACCATGACCCTAAGCATACTGCTAAATTAGTTAAAATGTGTTTAAAGCACAACCAAGTGAATGTTTTGGAGTGGCCATCACAAAGCCCTGATCTCAATTTTATAGAAAATCTGTGGGCAGAGTTGAAAAAACTTGTGCGAGCAAGACAGCCTACAAATTTGACTCAGTTACACCAATTCTGTCAGGAGGGATGGGCCAAAATTCCTGCAAACTATGGTGAGAGGCTTGTGGAAGGATACCCAAAACAGTTGACCAAAGTTATACAGTTTAAAAGCAAAGCTTAAAAATACCAAGGAAATGCGTGTAAACTTTTGTCCGTCTAAAAATAAATAAAAAAATCTCTCAATATTCTGGCATTTATCAAATGTAAATCATTTAGGTCAGTAATTCTCAAACTTTTTTCATCAAGTACCACCTCAGAAAAGATTGTTCCTCCAAGTACCACCATATGACCGGTATATATATGAAATACAGTAGCGTAGTAGGCCCAGTAAAACAGCTGCAGCTCTGCACAGTTTAAAAACGTAGTAACTACTATTATTAAGAATATTTATTATTATCAGCCACTTTAAACATCATAAATAGTAACATTAAGACTGTACTCTGCTTATATGTAAACAAACATACAAAATATAATGTCAACATTTAAATTAATGTGCTTTTAAAGGTTCATTAAAAATGGTAGGTTACTGTCCTTAAAAAGAAAAGAAAAAAAACTGCTGTACTTAAATGTAAAGTGTTAACCTATAGTATCCTATTTATCAAAACCTGGAAATGTTGCTTAGACCTCATAAATAGGCTATGGGCCCTATCATACACCCGGCGCAGTGTGGCGCAAGATGCGGCGCAATGGTTTTTTGGTAGTTTCAGCTTGGCACAAGAGTCGTTTTGAGGCGTTGCGCTACACTGTTTAAATAGCAAATGCATTAGCGCTCATTTGTGCGCCCATAGGCGTTCTGGGCTAAAAAGGAAGGCGTTCTGAGGCGGACCGCTGGCGCGTTGCTATTTTGAGAAACTATAATAGATTTTTCATTAGACCAAAACTCACCCGGTCTAAACTCCGGCGCAGAGTTGCGCCTCGCTTACACACTGCTTAATACACACAAGAGAGAAATAGGTAAATATCTTTACATATGAAAAAATTTAAATATTAAGGATATATATATAGGATATAATAAGAATAGATATAGGATATAAATATAAAGGATTAAAATATTACAAAACATATTATTTTCTAGACTACATAAATATGAAAAATCACTGCTTTTATGTCTTCTTCATCTCGGGAGGATTTTTCAGTTCATTCATAACAATTTGCTTTTGTATAATGTTATTATTATTAGCAGTATTATTTATTATATCCATATTTATATTTGTTTTATTAAAAACAAGCTTAGATTTGCCCACCTGTCAGGTTTTAGACCATATGGGGCATGGCAGGTGTATTTGGAAATAACTCAGTATTTTGACCACACTTGGTCATTATTGTTCATTTATTCGTTTGCTGGAAATTAGAACTGAATTTAGAAACAGTTTTGAAACAAATCTTTGCGCTTAACAACAAAATTAATTATTTATTGGCTAATTGATGAATACCTGCGTAAAGGTTTCCCTGTCCAAGAGTGAAAGTGAAAGTGATCCATTATCTCTCATTCTCGCGCAGTAGATGCTCTGTTTAATGTTTTAAAAAACTGTTAACTGTTTGCTTGTGAAATGCTCATTTTTTCCACTTAGACTTACTTTGCGTCCTGTAAATAGCGAATGCGCTTATGGCGCGACGCAGCTGGCTCTTAAAGGGAATGGGAGATGAGACTCTGATTGGTTTATTCTCAAAACACACCTATGACTCATTAAGAAAATAAACTCAACCCTTTTAGACCATGCGCCTTGGCGCAAAGCGCATTTTCCCATCCGTAAATTTGCGAAAATGCGTTCTGACAATGCGTTTACGCCCTGCGTTTTGCGCTCTGCGCATGGACCGTCAAAATAGAGCCCTATATGTCATCATATTCATATTCAAACCATTTTTGATGAATTTTGAAATATATGTTGCTTGTACATGACATGTAGGATTCCTCTGCGTACCACTAGAAGGAAGGCTGCGTAGCACTAGTGGTACACGTACCACAGTTTGAGAACCACTGATTTAGGAAATCCTAACAGACCTAAAATAGTAAACGTTTAGGATGATTTAACATCAGACATTTTTTAAAAATGGTTATGTTCCTTTTTTAGAGTGTATGTAAACCTGTTGGTTTCAACTGTAAATACCACTGTGATATTCATTAAATACGAGAATTAACATGTGCACAGATGAATTCAGGATGAAATAGGAGCAGCGCTACATAAATATAGCACTATCGGCATGCAAATAATACATCTTTCTCGTATTTTCCCATCAAAGATGCAAGGCCGTGCAACACAGTCCAGCTGAAAGGCATGAATGTTTCAGACGTCTTTCATGCTAGCGAGCGGTCAGAGAGCAATCGCACTGAGATCAGACGGCGGACGGCGCTTCACTCTCGACTCTTCAAAGAAGCCGTGGTCTAAAAATACCCTCAGTGTCGAGCAGAGATTGAACAGAGACGCCTGCTGTTCTGATCTTTCGCTCGACATCAACACCTACACGAGAACAGTCGCACACACGCATGTGAACCGAGATGCCTGGGCTTGTCAGCGCGTCCTGATCAGACGGGTTCATCAGTGTGTTACTGCGAGGACAGAGGAAAGAAAATAAAACAACGAGTACTGGAGCAGATTAGCTCGCATGAAATCTCTTCTCTGAATATCCTCAACTAGCCTTTCCCGGAATGAGCGTGTTTGGCTGAATTAAACAACGCAGACTAGAACTACAGTACCACAAGTGCATAACTCACAATGCTGTGGTAAGATGGTTGCTAGGGTGATGGTATTCTGTTGCTAGGTGGTTTGATTCAGTAGAATGTGTAAACTGGATGCAGAAATAGAACTGAAAGGTCACACATATATTCGTTTTTAATTATTTCTACACGGAAAGATGAACGCAAAGCTGGTTTTATCTTAAGATGGGGTGAAATTTGAGCTACATTTTTTGGAAAACAATAAAATCTTTAGCAGTAAATTATTGTTAACACTATACACTTGTAACAGGTGTTATATTATTTTTATTAATTTCACTCAAAATTCTCCTTGTTATTCATCAATTATTTTTATTTAATTGTGTATTTTCAAAGTTGTTCTTTAAATATCATATATTTCAGAGTTAATGAAATCATAGTTGTGCTTGTTTTCAATGTATTGGTGTATTTTGGAAAATTGCGCGTGGCCCCTTTAAGTGTCGTTTTCCGGTTCCGCCTGCTCTCACTCAGTTCGCGGCAAACGCGATTGAGGAGAGGTGAGTTTTACTGAAGCTCCGGTTAAAATATAGCATATAAGTGTTGTTTATCATAATAACACATGTAATGGTGTTCTAAATTGCATTACATTGATGTTTAAACATGTATGAGAGGTTGAATGTATATGAGGCATGTATTGTGGGTAAAGTTTATAAGCATGAATGTGCAAGCTTTGTAGTGAGAATTATCCCTTTCACTAATAGGTTGGTGAGCTCCTAAGGAAGGCACATACTCAGCTTTGCCATTTGTTTGCTTTATTCATACAGGTATGTGTTTACATATGTGTTTATGCTTCTGTTATGTTTTTGAATTTATGTATAATGTTTCTTTTTTTTTGGTGTATGTTAAACACACTTCAACTTTATTTATGTGAGTTCGCGGCAAACGCGATTGAGGAGAGGTTGGTGAGCTCCTAAGGAAGGCACATACTCAGCTTTGCCCTTTGTTTGCTTTATTCATGCAGAATAAAAGCCTGTTAATTCCCATATGACTGGTTCCTTTCGCCTAATCACAACACAACGCAGAGTAAAGCGAGGACCGGTCACACACTCTTAGAAATAAAGGCACGTGAGCTGTCACTGGGGTGGTTCTTTTCCAAAAGGTAAACATTTGTACTTGAAGGGTCCACATTGGTACCTCAAAATTATATATTAGTACCTAAAAATTTTAGGAGGAACACTTTTGTAGTTTTTAGGTACCAATATGTATCACTGAGGTATTAATATGGACCTTTTAGCTACAAATTTGGACCTTTCTAAAAGGTACCACCTCAGTGACAGATCGCTTACCTTTATTTCTGAGAGTGTAGCAATGGGTTATCGGTCAATACTGAAGCAATTAATATTACTACAATAAATACTGTCCCACGGAGGAATCTGATATATGACATACACACTCATTTGAATTTCACATGTATAAAATATGTCATGTATGCAACATATATCTTAAAATATTGTAAAAATGACTGCCTCTCTATATTTTTGTAACCATTTGAATTACAATTATGTACATATACTGTACGTTAAGCTATAATTTTATATGTCCCTATATTACACACAAACACACACACTAATATATATATATATATATATATATATATATATATATATATATATATATATATATATACACACACACACACACACTCACTAGCCATTTTATTTGGTACACCTTACTAGTACTGGGTTGGACCCCCTTTTGCCCTCAGATCTGCCATAATCAGGTGGCCCACAGTGTGGTGTTCTGCTGCTGTAGCCCATCTGCCTCAAGGTCGGACGTGTTGTGTTTAGAGATGCTCTTCTGCGTACCTCGGTTGTAACGAGTGCTTATTTGAGTGACTCTTGCCTTTCTATTAGCTGGAACCAGTCTGGCCATTCTCCTCTGACCTCTGGCATCTGCGGCCACAGAAATGCCGCTCACTGAGTGTTTTAACATTACGGTCAAACAAAATCCAAAACGAAACAGCTCTGTTTGAAAACATAGCCAAACTTAAGTCTGGTTTATCACAAAGTTCAATTTCTTTAGCCACACCCAGACCTTGGGGGATGGGGAGAGGGTATGTTTGGGGGGGTTTTGCCTATAGAGTGCCATTTAACCCCTTCCACAGCGCCCCGACGAGGTCGGGCGACGAGGTCGGACGAGGTCTATAAACTAAAACCGCCGCAGCTTCAGAGATCAAGGATTAATTTCCAATAATAAGCGATGAGAATTTTTTTTCAACAATGAATCTCTCTTCTAACAAGGAAAAGAAGACACTGGACATATAATAATAGTTAAACCACTGAAGTCACACAGGCTGGTTTTAGAGGGGTTTTGGCCATTTCCAGCCTGGTCTTAGCCAGGTTTTGGCTGGGCTCCCAGCCTGGCTAGGCTGGTCAACTGGTTTTAGCTGGTCATCTCCCAGCCTGACCAGCTAAGACCAGGCTGGAAATGGCTGGAAACCAACCTGGAAATGGCTAAAACCCCTCTAAAACCAGCCTAGTCGACCAGCTAAAACCAGCCAACCAGCCTAGGCTTGTTTAAGCTGTTTTTTTCAGCAGGGTACCCCTACCTCTTCAGGAAGGGCTAAGACAGGGGTGGCCAACCCTGTTCCTGAAGAGCCACCTTCCTGCAGATTTCAGTTGCAACCCATATCAAACACACCTGCCTGTAATTATCACGTGGTGTTCAGGTCCTAATTAATTGGTTCAGGTGTGTTTGATACGGTTGGCAACTGAAATCTGCTGGAAGGTGGCTCTCCAGGAACAGGGTTGGCCAGCCCTGGGCTAAGAGGTAGAATTGGGAATGGGCCTAACTCTTTAAATCACCACACAATTTCAGCGTTTGTCAAAAACTGCAGGTTTGAAATTTTCACAAGGGTTGTGAGAGAAAAAAAATCTGACATTCTAGATTCAGACGGCTATAAAATCACCAACTCCCCTCCCAGTAAATAATGACGATCCCTTATATCCCCCTTGAGAAACAGACAATATCCGAATAAGGCTTTTGTCCTTTTATTTCACCCCGTCTATGACAGTCATCCGATCAGAGCTCTGTAAAAGATGTAATTGCATGAGACTGATGGATGACGAACAAGGAAATGTCTACGAATAGACCTTCTGTATGTTTCCACAGCAATCTGAGAGGTCATTACCAGTGAAGAGCCCTCAACCCCACAACCATTAATGCTAAAAACTACTTCCAAGAAGCAAAGCGTTCCAATCCCTCTCCATCCCGCCGGCCATTGAGTGCCGCGGTATCTAGCAGTAATTAGGAGAGCATTAGATGAAACTGACAGAAGACGCGCAGCCTCCTGTTTGACCCCCAGAATAACTGATGAAATCTCGCATCAGATCCCAAGCTTGCGTCCGCCTCCGACAGCTGTACCTAACCGACCCGTTTGATCCGGTAATTGACTCGGAGGTGATAAGAGAGACAAATACAGCCGGTGGAGGAGGAGGACGGATGGAGGCCTTGAGATTAGAGGGATTTGATTTCCTGTAGGGCCTGTAGCGTGTTGTATCCTTCGTCTAAAACATGTCAAAACAACAATCAATAAATCATTTATTCACTCAGCTTTGGCTTCCTCTCTATTTAAGAGGTCGCCACAGTGGAATGAACCACCAACTATTCCAGCATATGTTTTTATTAGCAAATTCCCTTCCAGCCGCAACCCGATATTGGGAAACACCCATACACACTCATACACTACACTCCATTTTGTTAATTCAATAGTGCATGTGTTCGGACTGTGGGGAAAACCGGAGCATCCGGAGGAAACCCACGCCAACACGGGAGAACATGCAAACTACACACAGAAATGCCAACTGGTCCAGCTGGGACCTTGCTGTGAGCCACCCTCATTTAATAATTGGTACAACGTAAATTATGACCAGGGCCAGACGGAATCTGCGGACGTTTTTTGCTATTTCTGCGGAGAATTTTGGTAAAAATCTGCAGATTTCTGCAGAATTATTTTGGGAGTATCCAGCGGAGTATTATCACTAAAACCTTAATATATTAAATAAAAAGTAATAAATTACTGAATAAAAACTGAATAAATTCAGATTTACACATTTACTCAAGTAAATAAACAGAATTATTAATGGGCTAAAAATCTGCGGAATTCTGTGGAAAATCTGCGCGCGCAGATTCCGTGTGGGAATAATTATGACACACATATGTGTACAATTAAATTATTTCGACAATTTCAGGAGCAAAGTCCATTTTTGAATCACTAGCTAGGTTCCCGACATTTTGCGTTTATGCAAATTTTTAAGTATCTCGTGGGAAACGAGTAACAGAAATGTCTTAATCTACCTTAGCGAGCGTAAAAATTATTTTACGAATTTTGACATGTGCAAAAAAGGGTTAATGTGACTGATGGGAGATGGAAATACATTAGTTGATACTTGCCTTGTTTACTGTTGGTTGCTAGGTTACCAATACTACAGTCAGCCACTATAACAACTTGGTAGAAATGCACGTAAGAGTTTTTTTTCTTTGCAAACTTTGAAAATATTTGCTTTATGTTATTATATTAATACCAACTAATGAAATCAAACAACGCTATCTCATGACAATTCGTACACTTTTGATTTATTGACTAATTCATATGAATTCATACAATCAGATTCGTACAATTTAGTATGATTTGCTTTTCCCCCAGTGACGGTTGGGTTTAGTGCCATGCCACCTTTTTAAAAATGTACCAGTTTTGCATGACTGAACTCTGACCTATTTGTACAAATAAACCACTAAACTTACAAAACGTAAAATAGTTATGTTTCCTCGTGATTGTTTTCATTTGAATTACCTTAAGGATTTTACTTAACTTACAATTAATCTTAATCTCCTAATTTAGACAACCAGATTGTCTTTTTAATTATTGCAGTTCAAAACATAACTTCTTGAATAATAAAGTATATTAATAATAATACTCAATAATAATGCTTGGTTCTAATTGGCTGATAAGGTGTGTCGTTATTTTCAGATATACTCACCGCTAAAGTAGTTCCGGCAGATTTTGGTCACATTATAGTTTCATATTACTATGCTGAATAATTTATTGCACTTATCGCAAAGATTATGCAACAGGCTCATTCTGAAAACGTAGTCCCGTTGACGCTTCTGGAGACCACGAATTATGTAGCCGGAGGTACATATGGCCGCCTTTTAAAATTTTTTTAAGCGAACGCTACTGGGCGGTATGACGGCTTTCTTTTAACGCTTACAGGCTTACCTCCATGTGGAGGGCTTTCCCGCTGTTTGTCGAGTACGTCGACGGACTTGAGACGTAGTTTTTGATTTTAGCAAACCACGAGAGGCTGCCGTGTGCACTTATTCGTATCTCAAATATCTCTTGGGAGTGCTGTTCGCACCCTGGCTGTTCTCATGTAAACCCACCAGAGGCCGCTGTCGAGCAACCAGCTGTCTGACTAAATGATTGACTGTGCGACTGACCCACCCTCCTCTTTCCCTAAACCAAAACAGTTTTACCGATTGACCTGCCCACTAACTTACTTCCCTAAACCCAGCCTACGGTTTGTAAAGGTCGTCCAGATAAGAAAAAGCCCTCGTCTGATTTTTACTACGTTTTCGGATTTTACCACATTCTCACCCTGTTAAAAACTTGTTCACTTTATTTTTTGGATTCTGTTTTTGTCTTACCTGAACCGCTCTTCTCAGGACTCGAACCCGGTCATCGTGGTCAGCTCCTCTCTGCGTCTCAAGTCCACTGACGTACACGACGAGCTAACTGGACAAACTGGTTGCAGCGGGAAAGCCCTCCACACGGAAGTAAGCGGTCAGCCAGTTAGTACGAAAAGGAACAGCGTCACACCGCCCCGTATCGTTCGCTTAAAAAATTAAATGAAGTGATACGTATCTCCGGCTACATAATTCGAAGTCTCCAGAAATGTCCACGGGACTACGTTTTCAGAATGAGTCTGTGTTGGTATCGCTGCAGCCTGGAGACCTCCAAGTGGGAGGGATTACACCGCAAG